ATTCATTTGATTCAATGGTATTTCACCCCGCATACCATAAAATGACAAAAATAAGCCCATCCAATGAACCCATGTACAGATTTGACTAAAATTGTTATGGATCTTTAATGACCATCCCCAAAATGAATTCAAATTTGCATCACAAACATGTTGATTGCATCAAAGTTGGATTTGCAGTTCTCCAACATAAAAAGCTGCAAAAGTGACAAGGAAATCATGGAAATCTGCTATTATGATGTATAATACCTCATTCAGTAAGAAGCAGAGCTAACATAGCTGTGTGGTTATAATATTTGCAAGTTTTCCATTCCTACCCCCTGGGCATATTGTTTGCATTTTATGGTATGTGAATTTCCTGATGATGAAATTCCCCCTRAAATAAAGTGAAAGAAAAGAAAAATTCACCTGCACACACTTTGTAGACAAACATTGTATTCATTGACTTGTTTATTAGTTGAGGCCCAGTTACAATTGACTGAGTTTTGCTGATATGGAGAAAATACTCTTACAGCTGATTACACGGCTTAGTAGAATGAAATCCTAAATCCATAAAATAGAAAGCTATATTACACTTATATACAGTGGAAGTCTTACGTCCACTATCAAGAAAAGTATCAGCACTTACGATATTGATGTCAGTTGTAACTGGGTCTGTGATCTAAGAAATATTGTGATTGTTTCTGTCTGTTCATACTGAGAAAGATGGTGGTGCAGGCCTGTAGTGATTCTGTCTGTACATACTGAGAAAGATGGTGGTGCAGGCCTGTAGTGATTTTCCTCTATCAACATCATAAGGGGCCATCCACTAGAATTATGACGGCAGAAGTTTGAAAAATCTGCACAAAAGCTTTGTACATTTAAAAAAATACTTTTGTACGGAAAAAATCTCAAAAGTCTAATGGATTGCACCTAAATAATGCTAAGAAAGTGAATGGACTGATATATCTAAGAAAAAACTGAAAAAGAACTGTTGAAGAAATCTTGCCAGTGATTGATTTTGATAGATTTTTTGTGGAGGAAAATTACTCTCGCCAGAAAGTGATTGAATTTCAATGCACTTCTTGGTGTATAATAATTATTGGAACGGTGATGAGAAAAAAATGTCTAAGTTAAGTTTCCATTGCAACTGCCTTAAAAATTTAGCAACAAGAAGTGCTAGAGTATTGACATTGTTAACAGAATTTCATCTATCATGATGTCGACTTGCGAACAACTTTTGTTCTGCAGTGTTAAACAAAGTAAAGTTGAMATACTAGATGATACGACTTTTGGTAATGCAATGTGCAAAATATAAGAAATTTAGTTCTCAATTACACCACCATCTTTCTCAGTATTGTCATTGGGTTGGGGAGGGGTGAATTTCATTGCTTGGGTTGGGGWGGGACTTGACATTAGGGGTTGGGGAGGGGTTTGGCATTGGGCTGGGGAGGGAGAAGTTTCATGGTTGGTGTGGGTTAAGGAGTGGTCAGGGGTGAAATGACTTGATTGCAATTGTCTTGTACTCAGCAAAAGGYCACATCAAGATAGACAAGGTAGGATGTCAAGA